TAAACATTGCCTACACAATGAAAGCATGTTGTAGAGTGTAGTGCAAATTACATATCTAGTCATGAGGTTAAAATTTCAGTTTTAGATGTTACAATCATGAGGCCAGCTATAAAATGCCATTCTTCTGGACCCTAGTCAGTGGGAGAAATGTCTGGGCTCCTCAACAGAAGAAGGAGAAAATTTCTTAGCCACTTGGGAGATAGTTATGGTCTGGGTTATGAGCTCTTTGGCAGGTAGATGGTTTCAATTGATGTCAGCTTGGGACTGTTCCAGCATCTTGATAATCCTGTGAGAGTAGCCCTTTGTGATAGCATGTCGTGAAGGAAGCAGGTCCTGTAAGTCCTTCCCAATCTTATCCTATATCTCCAGGATGGGGTTGGGGACTAAACCACTGGTCCAAGTCTGTCAGTTTGCTGCCAACATCATGCTTAAGGGTGGATTCATGAGGAACCAGAGAAGGTGATTTTATGATATGAACTAAATAGTACAGGATTGTTCTTGATACTGTATATTTCCCTCCCAGGCAGAGTGGTGTGACGGTGAGAACCCCCTGTCTTTGGAGGAAGACAGGCCTGGGCTTGTCCAAGGAAAATCACCATGGCAACTGTGTGACTTTGGATAAGGTTTACTCTGTACTAGTAAAGACCCTGGTTGCAAGAAACATAAACCTAATTTGAAAAAACTAAAAACAAAACAACAAAAAAAGGGATTTATTGGAAGGATATTGTAAAAAAGTTAATGTGAAAGGTTAATGAATGGATCAAAATCAAATGGAGTTCAACTCTTAAGTTCCATTTTCTTAGCCCATTTAGATATGAGCTCTGATATCTAAGTGGGTTCTGATTCTGCATCTGCATTCAACTTTCACAAAATGAAATGATCAGCAGATATTAGGGAGGTCAAATCTTTGACAGGTCATAGAGGAGGAGGGACTTTATAGCAAAAACATTTTCTAATCTAAAGCTCATTGTGAATTAAATGATGAACGTGATGAGGACAGAGATGAAAGTCTTTGATCCATTTAAAGTTAATTTTTGAATAAGTTGTAAGTTGTGAGGTTAGGTCAAGATTTTTTTTGCCTATGGATATCTGATTGCACTAGCACTGTTTATTGAAATGTCTGTCTTTTCTACACTGAATTGCTTTTGCACCTTTGTCAAAAATTAATTGAGCATATTTGTGTAAATCTGTTTCCTGGGGTCTCTATTCTGTTTTGTTGAATGATATGTTTATCCCTCTGCCAGTATCACACTGTATTGATTACTATAGCTTGATAGTGAGTCTTAACATCAGGAAGATGAATTCTTCCCACTTTATTCTTCAATATTGTCTTTACTAATGTAGGTCCTTTGTCTTTCCATATACATTTTAAAATTAGCTTGCCTGTGTCTCCAAAAAACCTTGCTGGGGTTTTGAGAGGAATTGTGTTAAGCTTATACATTCATTTAGGCAGAATTGACATCTTTATTATGTTGAATTGAGATCTTTATTACATTCCAATCTATGGACATGGTAAATCTGTCCAATTATCTTGTTTTTTGATTTTTAAAATTACATTTTGTAGTTAAAGCATACAGACTTTGTACATAGTGTTTTTTTTTTAACCTTTATACCGAAGTATTTCTTTGGAGCAATTTTAAGTGGCATTGTTTTTAATTTTAGCAAGTATTTTCTTTGGAGCAATTTTAAATGGAATTGTGTTTTTAATTTTGGTTTTCATATGTCCATTGTTGTATAAAGACATGCAGTTGATCTGTGTTGACTGAGTAAGCTGCAACCTGGCTGAACCTTTTTTTTTTTTTTGCGGGGGTTGCGGGGTGGGACTTTTGGTCCCGGTTTGTTTTGTGTATTAAGAAAAGTTTTGTAAATAGGGAGATTTCTTTTATAGACTTCTTAAATAAATTCTACTTTTTTCTTATTCAATTACAACTTTATGAATGTAATTGAAATTAAACAAGCATTTGCTTTGTGAAAGGTAGATTCTGCTCAAATAGTAGAATAACAAAGCAGCTTTTGTTTTCCATTTTTTTTCTGAGTTTTCTTTGATTTCGATAGGGATGTAGAGAAGCTGGTATCACTTAAGGTAACAATGTCTGAACTTCATCAGAGAACTTACCAGAACGAATTCTTTTGTAAAAACCCTGGTGGGAAATAAGTAGTCCTCTTTGATTACTGGGCAGCCCAATGCAATGATACTTAATTGGCTGGCCGAACTTAATTAGCTTTAGGAGGTATTTTGTTTTGTTTTGCTTTTTTGTAGATACCTTGGGATTTTCTACACTGTCCTCACATCTAAAAATATAAACATTTCACCTATATTTAAAATAATTTTTAAACATGCTGAAAATTTGAAAGAATGTTACAATGAATACTTGCATATCCACGTACAATACCCACAATTGTTAACATATGTTGAATGTGTGGGGCTGTGCATATACACACTGGTTGGACATCATGACGCTTTACTTACAAACACTTCATTACATATATGTTAATTATGAGTATATTCCTTAGTTACAGTCTACTATCACACCTCAGGAAACTAACAGTTCCCTAAAAACAACTTATATCTAATCCGCACTGAAATTTCCTCAGTTTTTCTCCATGATGTGTTTTACAGTTATTTCCTTAAAACAGGACTCCATGAAGTGTCATGCATTATATTTGGTTATTGTAACTCCTTGGTCTCTTATTTTTGAACAGTCTCACCATTTTTTTCCCTGTGAAATTGACTTTTTGAAGAAGCTTGGCCAGTTGTCTTATAGGACAGTCTATGTTCGGAATTAGCCATCTTGTTTCCTCACGGTTATTTTTTTGTTTGTTGTTGTTGTTGCTTTTTTAGATTTGTTTTCCTTTATTATCTCTCTTTTCTATAAACTGGAAATTAGATTTAAAGGCTTGATAAGATTCAAGTTAAACATGTTTGGCAAGATATGTAATAAGTGATGCTTTGTGTTCTGTATTGCTTCACATCAGTAGAACATAACATTAGATTGTCCTACTATCAGTGATGCTCGGCTTGTTTGTGTGGTTAAGGTACTAGATCTTGCCACTGTGTAAAGGTACATCTTTATCTTTGCAATTAGCAAGTAGCCTGTAGGAATGATGCATACCTATTGTGAAATGCTTTGATGGAAGCCAGTTGGTTCTTTTTAGAGGAAGATGTTCTTTGCAATAGAATCAGATCCCTTTTAGGAACCTTTGAAGATAAATCTCCACCTTCAGTTGGAAATATATGAAGTTTGCAAAAATAGTACTGACTTTTAACGCATAGAAAATGTCACTTGGTGTGCTGAAGAGAATATTTAATGAACATTTTACATGAGACTAGCTCTATAATTTAATGTAACAATATCAGTTAAGGAATACTCTAAGGAATACTTTGTGAGAAGAGAGAGTGGGAAAAGGCTGAACCTCAAGATGTGGTCCCTAGGGCAGAAATCTCTCTAGTTTTTCTGCTCTGGGTTGGTAGCAGATAGTCACCCAACAAAGCAAAGACCTGGTGAGAGAGGCTTCACTTTGAAGGCTGTTTACTGAGTGATCATGGTTTTATCTAAGCTTTCCTAAAAGAGGATTTGAAGTTGGTTCACAGGTGAAAAAAGTTATCCTCTCATCTATATCAAGTGTCAGAGTGCCCCATGCTCTAGAGATTAGTTTGCCACTTTTCCCAGCATTTTGACAGCTCTTGAGTTTAGCCAGGTGTCATGCTCTGGAGTGAAGGGGGAGGATGCCTAGGGACTTCCCGGTGCTGATCCACAGCTCTAGGGTGCTGCTGGACAGTTGAACCAGAGGTGCCAGGACAATCAATTTGTTGCCAAAACCGTGCTGATAGCCAGTCTTATGAGTGAGCAGAGTGGATGAATTGAGTAGTACTGGGTAGTTCCTTGGTTCAGAAAATCTCCCACCTGGAAATGTAATGTGACAGGAAATGTACCTTCCTGGCTTTGAAGGAGGACAGATCTGGTTTTACTACTTGCTACTAATAATGTGATCTTGGGAAAGTTATTATTGTTATTTTAGTGTTTATTTTGGGCCAGTTATTGCTTTGTTTAATCTTTACAACAACCATAGGAGAGAGTTGCTATTAATATCCCCTTATTTATTTAGAGATGGGGTCTCACCATGTTGCCCAGGCTGGAGGGCAGTGGGTATTTATAGGCTCAATAATAGTGCACTACAGCCTCGAACTCATGGGATCAAGTGATACTCCCACCTCAGCCTCTGGAATAGCAGGGACTATAGGTGTATGCCACTGCACTTGGCTTAATATCTCCATTTTACAGATGAAGACAGTAAGGCACTAAGAAGCATGTGTGTGTGTATGTGTTCTATGGATCAGGTGTGGGACATGGCAGACAGAGCTCCTGAGGAACCCCACCTAAGAGGGTTTCCTGACGCAGGTAAGGAAATCTTACAGGAAGGGAGATAAAGGTGTCTAGTCAGAGGAGGAGGGGGTAAGAAGGCTGTAAGCACCCAGCCAGAAGAGAGAGATTGATGTCTCCAATGGAACTGCACTCTAATAGCTGAATTAATGGAGAAGAGGGGTCATCATAGACCCCTCTATGATGAAACAGCAGAAGTGTCCCATGAGGAAGAGACAGTTTAAAACTCATTCCTGACTCAGAGAGCATTAATACTAGGCAATTATGGTTCCTTTCAGGTACAGCCTTTCCTACTCCTTACCAAACAGTACCACCTTCCCCTTTGTGCTACTCCAACTCTGGAGAGGGTAGAAACCACAGCAAGAAAGCTGACAGGGAGCAAGAAAAGCAAAGAAAGGCACCCAGAGAAGAAGGTGCCCATGTGCCTCTTTTGCATCGCAGGCTTCCAGCCTGCAGCAGCCCATGCTGGGGAGGGGAAGAAGCATTCACTCAAAATGAAATTTGGGTTTTTAATTTTTTGACTGTTATATGGGAAAGGATATTAAAATTATTAAAATAAGTTGGATTTTGGATTAGAAAATGAGAGTAAGATGTTTTGTATGGGATTTTGTATTTTCATTATCTGATGGGGCTAGAAAAGCCAATAGACATGCTCTAGATTTATCTACAGGGGAGAAGAGAATTAGCTTCATGGAACAGGTTTGAACAGGCAGTGGGAGAAAATGATAGTGTTGTGTTCTTTTTGCATTTTTGGAAGTCTCCCTATTGCAATATAATGCAGATTATTCTGGGAGAAATAACAAAGTATGCTAGTGGACTTCAAAACATCAGAATATCTGAGGAATCATTTTTTCAAAATAAAATTTACTTAGAACAGTAAAGATCCAAAGCAAATAAAAACAGGTTCCCTTCTCCTCACCTATCTATCTTCACCACTACCATCCAATTCAATGAAAGCAGCATTGCCTGTATATGTTTCATATCTTTAGCACTGAAGATCAAATTATTGATGTCATGATGATACCTTAGCAAACCCATCTGGCTTGAACACTGTAATGACTTCTGTGGCTTCTTAAACATGTCTCTAAGGAATTAGGGACAAAAGTAATCACTAGGTTTCTTTGTGCTTGACTTCAGCAACCTTGTTTTAGTGATGGATATGTTAATCCATGCTTGAGCTCTCCAAGACAGCCCATTTTTTTCTTGGTCATAGCTGACTATAAGAAAGTTCTGCTCTCCAAAGGATCCACGGACCAAAGCTGACAGTTTCTTTACTTGGGAGCTGACAGAATTTACTCCTGAAGACCAGAAACATGGCTTGTACCATCCAAAAGGCAGAAGTGCTCGATGGGGCTCATTTGATGCAGATCCTCTGGAATGATGAGGCAGAGTCTCTCTACCCAGCTGTATGCCTGCGAGACAACTGCCCATGCTCTGATTGCTACCTGGATTCTGCAAAAGCACGGAAACTTCTCGTTGAAGCTCTTGATGTGAACATTGGAATTAAAGGCTTGACATTTGACAGAGAAAAGGTGTACATCACATGGCCCGATGAGCATTACAGTGAATTCCAGGCTGATTGGCTGAAGAAAAGATGCTTTTCCAAGCAGGCCAGAGCACAGCTCCAAAGAGAATTGTTTTTGCCAGAATGTCAGTACTGGGGCTCAGAGCTCCAGCTACCTACTCTGGATTTTGAAGATGTTTTACGATATGACAAACATGCATACAAGTGGCTCTCCACCCTCAAGAAAGTAGGCATAGTATGACTCACCGGAGCATCTGACAAACAAGGAGAAGTTTTAAAACTTGGGAAAAGGATTGGTTTCCTCTATCTCACATTTTATGGACATACTGGGCAAGTGCAAGACAAAATCGATGCAAACAATGTGGCTTACACAACTGGGAAGCTAAGCTTTCATACTGATTATCCAGCCCTCCATCATCCACCTGGGGTTCAGCTTCTTCACTGCATAAAGCAAACAGTCACAGGTGGTGATACAGAAATTGTAGATGGGTTTAATGTGTGCCAAAAGTTAAAGAAAAAAAATCCTCAGGCATTCCAGATTTTGTCCTCTACCTTTGTGGACTTTACAGACATTGGAGTGGATTACTGTGATTTTTCTGTTCAATCAAAACACAAAATTATAGAGTTAGATGATAGAGGCCAAGTGGTTCGCATCAACTTCAATAACGCAACTAGGGACACAATATTTGATGTGCCAGTTGAAAGAGTTCCGCCTTTTTATGCTGCTCTGAAGGAGTTCGTTGACCTCATGAACAGCAGAGAATCCAAGTTTACCTTCAAGATGAATCCAGGTGATGTGATTACTTTTGATAACTGGCGCTTACTTCATGGCCGACGTAGCTATGAAGCAGGAACTGAGATATCCCGCGATCTAGAAGGAGCTTATGCTGACTGGGATGTGGTCATGTTAAGGCTTCGTCTCTTAAGGCAGAGGGTCAAGAATGGAAACTGAAATCTCCTGTCTATAATTTTAGTAAGATTCCAGTGAGGATATTTTGTAAGATATGGCACATTATTCACAGACCATGATCTGTGTCATTTACATAAAATTTCCTTAACAGTGAACATGTAACTTCTCTCACAAGAGTACTCTACTTTGTAATCGTACACAATGTCAACTTTTTGGATGTTTCAGCACTCTTTTGCAAGTAAAGCATCTTTTCTGCTCTGTTACATGCATGCTCTAATTTCTTTTGCCCATTTATGAGTATCTCCAGAACGTCTACAAATAGTTTTTGTAGCAAATGAAACATTTCTTCAAATAAGCCTTTTGTTTAAAATAAAACTTGTCTTAAAACATGAAAAAAAAAAAAAAAGAAAGTTCTTACTTAATTGAGCTAAATAAGTAGTGGCTATTCTCTCTTATCTTCTGGTAGAAGAGACCATGGACTTTTAAAGTACAAAGGCCTTTGGTTTTTCTTTTCTTCTAGTATTCCCATTGTAGTTTGAGGGAGATAACTTTTCATTTTTCTGTTGGATAGTTCTGCAGTTTTGAGAATGATCGTGGTGTTAGGTATCAGGAACAGCAATGTCATAAGTTCTCAGAGAGAGATAAAAAGTACTTTCATAGATAAAGAAAAATATTCTCAAACACAATCTAAGAAAATGAGGACTCTAGATTTTATTGCACTTTCCCTGCCCTACCCCATACCACAGGGTATGATATAAAGTGAAGCATGGAATCTCGTAGGTTTGTTTCTTTTACCGAATGTGTTAAGATGGAAAGCATTAATGATATTGGATCTGAACACTTTCTAGGTAAATAAATTCCTGATTCAGCTTAATCTCTGAAGCTTCTGTCTTTATAGATCTTGGTATTCTTTGCTCTGACTAAAAGGTCCTCAAATGTCTGTTTAGGAATCCTGAATTGGGTTTGTTCTCGGCACATCATTTATTTTTTTGCAAGGCCCAAATATGGCATTACTTCACCCTACAGTCCACACAGGGTCTGGGCAATGTTTTTGGAAACATAAAGATGATCTCACCCAGTTGGAAGAAGAGTCACATGATAAAATAATGGTCCTTCTCTCCTTAGGCCACTGAACACTGCTGAAATATATTGCTTCTTGACCTTTTGGCTGAGATTCCATGTAGAACAACTAAAATATTAGCTTCCCATCAGCTTTACCACATTTGGGGCTATAATTTCTGACAGCTGTAAGAGATTGTGTGCTTTGCTTTGTGGGGGCCCAGATGAGCTGTCTTTTTTTTTTTTTTTGGTGATAGCTGAGTTTGTCTAAAAAGCCTAGATCATAGGCTATCCAGTCCAGTAATACACATAATGCTTGAATCATCATTGTAATGTTTGCTTGATTTTCCCCTGGCAGAGGTTTTCCAGCCTGGACTTGAATACCACCGGTGAGGGGTAGGGAACTACGAGGTTGCCCATTCCATTTTTGGCTTAATATTTGTCTGAAGAAGGAAAAGTTTATTCTTGCTGAGCTGAAATCTGCCTGCCTGAAACTGACATTCATTAATCCTAGTTCTCCCGCTCTGGGTCTATGGACAATGCATTGAATCTCTTTTTAACTATTTGAGTATGGCTACTGTTTGTTCTCTAAATCTTAACTTTAGATTAAATAATCTAGTCTCTTGAACAGGTTCTTTTGCAATTTGGATTCAGTTTCTTTAACCAAGCATATCCCAAAGATGCTCTAATATATGTGCCCAGAACTGAATTCAGTACTAAGTTATCCACCTTCTTATCCTCATTGTTATACTTTCTTAGGACACTATCAAGTGCCGTTAATTTTTTTTTTTGGGAATCATATCACGCTATTAACACACAATGAACTCATTATTAATTAAAATTCCTAAGTCTTTTGCATACTTACTCTTACTAAACTTGCAAGATTGATTTTTGAACCCATGTTTAGGATCTTGTACTTACTCTTTATAAATTTTATTACATTTAGCCCATTGCCCTAGCCTCTCATAAATCTTTCTGAATCTTGATTCTTTATCAACAACATTTGCTGTCACTCCTGGCTTTTTATCATCTATAAATTTGATGAGCATATTTTCCATGTTTCTATCTTACTCATTGGTGTTAGAAGGACAGAGCTAAAGATAGACGGCAGGTGAAAATGGAAATTTCAATCCAATAATGAAGTAACCTTTTTAATATTAACGAGCTCTAGGTCTAACCAGTAGAATGAGCCTTTGTGTAGTGAACCTAGTGTGGTGGGAGAAATTGATAATGTCTCAGTAACTTTCACTCCTTGCAATATGGCTTCTTAATTTAAAAAAGAAGTAAGAAATTAAAGGCAGCATTTAAGCAAAAGTAAGAAAACACCCATTGGTGTATAAATTTTTTGAAAAGATAGCCAATATTTTATTTGAGGCTCTGGTTACTTTCCCAAACTTGAATTGTTCTTTTTTATTTTAAAACCAAAACCAAAACCAAACAAACAAAAACTTTAGTGCAGAATAAACTTTTCCAAGTTGAGTTTTTAAAAACAATCATCTCGTTCATTTAATTGGTGGCTAAAGGCGTGGTTTTGTTTAAACTATCCCATATGTAGGTTTTCAGCTCCCCCCCCCATAAAATTAATTGCCACAATTCTTGACAGTGACAGACACATATATGTGAGAGATGGAAAGGAACTTAATCTAGGTTGGTATATTCTGATGGAATAAAGAGAAGTGGGCTTCAGAAGATAAACGTGAAGGATGAGTTGAATTTTCCAATTAGGAAAGGATCTAGTATGACTCTCCATGTTAAAGATTTCCAGATAAGTTCAAGGGGAAAAAAATTGAAGCTAAATTTCATAAGGAAGTAATAATTCACTTCCGATTAATGACTGTCCATAGGCAATGCTGCCAGGACAGACAAATTGCAGCACTGCATTCCAACTTAAAAAAAAAAAACTCCTTTCATCAATTGGATACTTAAACCTAGTTTAAAATACTCTAATGAATGAGATGCATGCCAGTATGCATGATCAGTAATGGGATCATCGTACTTTATTTTCCTTTTGTTTATGCAGTGTCATAGTTACATTTCTGGCTATGTTTTATGTTGTTATGACCTGGACTGCAAACATATTCCTACTCGAACTATTACAGGTTGTTTGTAAAATAATTTTGGAGAGTAGTTTGTTATAACTTCCAACCTTCCTCTGCTACATGTACATAACACACACCAACACACACTATCTGTTCTCTCAAATAGTCACAATATATTTATTAGTTATTAGCCTTGTCTAGCATATGTATTGTAATTATAATTCACTTGTAGCTGAATATTGTTTTTGTGAAGAATTGTCTATCTTTAAAGGTTTTTTTTTTTTTTGACTTTTAAAGCTTGGATGGTCAGTGTGACCTAATCAAAATGATCCCTATCCCCTTACACCCTGTCTGCTTTAACCATAATAAACTCTTTACAGATCTCTGAACGTATTATGATACAACCTTCTCCAAAGCTTTGCCTATGCTCTTCCCTTTAACTGGAATATCTCCTTTCTCTGGATCAATACTTCCTATGCACTCTTGAAAATGAGGCTGATGGACTGTCTTAGTCCATTTGTGTTTCTATAAAAGAATACCGGAGGCTGGGTAATTTCTGAAGAAAATAGGTTTATTTGGCTCATCGTTTTATAGGCTGTACAAGGAGCATGTTACCAGCATCTGGTTCTGGTGAGGGCTTCAGGCCTTCTGGTGGAGGCTTCATAGAAGAAGGCAAAGGGAAGTGGGTGTGTGCAAATCACATGGGAGAGAAAGCAGGAGAGAGAGAAAGCAGCAGTTGCCAGACTCTTTTTAATAACCAGTTCTTGCAGGAACTAATAGGGTGAGAACTCACTTATTACCATGACCCAAGCACCTCCCACTAGGCCCCACCTCCAACACTAGGGATCAAATTTCTTAAAAATTTTATTTATATTTTTAAATTTTGTAGTTACATAGGTATATATATATATTTATGGCATATATGAGATGTTTTGATAAGGCATGCAATGGGAATAATCACATCATGGAGAATGGGGATCCATTCCCTCAAGCACTTATCCTTTGTGTTACAAACAATCCAAGTGTATTATTTTAGTTATTTAAAATGAACAATGAAGTTATTATTGATTATAGTCACCCTGTTATGCTATCAAATAGTAGGTCTTATTCATTTTTTTTTTTTGAGATGGATTTTCGTTCTTGTCGCCCAGGCTGGAGTGCAATGGCATGATCTCAGCTCACTGCAACCTCTGCCTCTTGGGTTCAAGCAATTCTCCTGCCTCAGCCTCCCAAGTAGCTGGGGTTACAGGCATGTGCCAACACACCTGGCTAATTTTTTGTATTTTTAGTAGAGATGGGTTTCACCATTGTTGGTCAGGCTGGTCTCGAACTCCTGACCTCAGGTGATCTACCTGCCTTAGCCTCCCAAAGTGCTGGGATTACGGGCATGAGCCACTGCACCTGGCGTATTTGTTCTTTCTATTTTTTAAATAACCATCGCCACCTCCTCCCCAATCTTCCACCAGCCTTCCCAGCCTCTGGTAACCATCTTTCTATTCTCTATCTTTATGAATTCAATTGTTTTGATTTTTAGATCCAACAATTAAGTGAGGGCATGTGATATTTGTCTTTCTGTGCCTGATTCGTTTCCCTTAACATAATATTTTCCACTTCCATTCATTGCTGTTGCAAATGACAGGATCTCATTCTTTTTAATGGCTGAATACTACTCCATTGTGTATATGTACCACACACTTAGGTTGCTTCCAAATCTTAGAAGTGCAGATATCTCTTCTATGTTCTGATTTCTTTTTTGCAGGCAGTATATACACAGCAGTGGGATTGCTGGATCACACGGTAGCTCTATTTTTAGTTTTTTGAGGAACCTCCGAGATGTTATCCATTGTGGTTGTACTTATTTGCATTTCCATCAGCAGTGTAAGAGGGTTCCCTTTTCTCTATATCCTTGCCAGCGTTTGTTATTGCCTGTCTTTTGGATATAAGGCATCTTAACTGGAGTGAGATGATATCTCACTTTAGTTTTGATTTGCATTTCTCTGATGATTAATGATGTTGAGAAACTTTTTCGTATGCCTATTTGCCAATAGAAATAGGCATTTCTATTTCAATCTCTTGCCCATTTTGATTAGATTATTAAATTTTTTCTTAGAGAATTGTTTGAGATCCTTATATATTCTAGCTATTAATCCCTTGTCAGATG